AAAACACAACCAACAAGAGCAAATATTTAATGAGAACTAGCTTGAAAATTCAGTGTTGTTTATAGGTGTCTCCCTCAAGTGATCAGTGTCCAATACCTTTGAATTATTAGAAGCATTGCTTGGAGTGCAGTGTTAGGGCATGTCTAATTATCTTTGTTTAAAGCAACTAACTAGTCAGTATAATTAGGAGCACATGACACAGGCCTGGGAAAAGGAAGCACCACTAACAATTCTAGTTTAGGCCCCATCAGCTTGGCCCCCAAGCTGTTAGATCCTAAACCATGCATCTTAGCTTATACATACAGCAGGCATAGAAATACATTTAACACATAGAGGAGGCTGTGACATTTGGCATCATTACACAGAACTATACAGAAATCCTCTATAGTCACTCAGCTTCTGCTCATTAAGCAAAATTTAGAATCTTTATTTGCCTAGGCCTACCACACCAACAAAATCCAATGTTAGACCTCCACAAATTTAGCAGTTTAGTGACAGTGACCACAGACTTATTTCTGGTGTGTGTTTCGTATGTACACAACAAAATACTTTTCATTCTGAGGCCAATAGATAGAGACCAAGGTTTCAGAGAGCAGGATTACCCAAATGGCGTGCTTTTTATTTAACCAGTAGTGATCTTTTCAAATTAATTTACTTAAGTATTATTTTTTTAGGTGGGAGTGCGTTGTCTGCATGTATACCTGCAGGCCAGAAGAGGGCAATCCCATTACAGATGGCTGTGAGCCACCGTGTAGGTACCGGAATTGACCTCAGGACCTCTGGAAGAGCAGCCAGTGCTCATAACAGTTAAGACATCTCTCCGGCCCAAACAGTACTGATTTTATTTGTGTGCCTGGATGTGTGTGAATGCACACATAACTATGGTACATGTGTGGAAGGACAGTTTTCCTGAGTCGGGCCTCTTCTACCATAGGGGTTCAAGAGATTGAACTGGTCTATCAAGTCTGGGAATAAAGGCATTCGCCATCACTGCCCAGCTGTTTTTTTTTGTTTTGTTTTGTTTTGTTTTGTTTCAAGATTTATTTCCAGGGGCTGGAGAGATGGCTCAGAGGTTAAGAGCACTGACTGCTCTTCCGGAGGTCCTGAGTTCAATTCCCAGCAACCACATGGTGGCTCACAACCATCCGTTATGAGATCTGGTGCCCTTTTCTGGTGTGCAGATATACATGGAAGCAGAACGTTGTATACATAATAAATAAATAAATAAATATTTAAAAAAAAAGATTTATTTCCAACTTTAATCCCAGCACTCAGGAGACAGAGTCAGGTGGATCTGAGTTCAAGGCCAGCCTGATCTACAGAGCAAGTTCCAGGACAGCCAGGGTTACACAGAGAAACTCTGTCTGGAAAAAAAAAAATTAAGACAGGGTTTTACTTTGTAGTGCTTGTCTGGCCTGGACACTGAGATCCATCTGCCTCTGCCTATACATATGTACATGTATCTGCTTGTACATGTATATCGTGTGCATGCAGTGGTCTTGAAGACCACGGAGAGTGCATCAGATGTCCTGGGGTTGTAAGATGCCTAATTGGGTGCTGGGAGCAGCAACTGTTCTTAATCTCCAAGCCATCTCTCCAGCCCCAATATTTATTTACTTTTGATTATGTACATGTGTCTGTGTGTGGGTATGTGCAAGTTTCTGCAGATAAGAAGAGGGGTGTCTAGTCCCATGGAACTAGAATTACAGGCTGCAAACTGGAGCCCTCTGAAAGGGCAGAGCATCCCCTCAGCTGCTGAGCCATCTCTTCATCACCTTAAAGAAATTACATTAATTGACAGGTTGATTTTGGGATGGGAGTGTGCATGCCCACGGTATTCATGTGGGAGTCAGAGGACAACTTTCCAGACCTGCCCTCTCCTTCCACCGGGTAAGTCCTGGGATAGAGCTCTAGTTAGGCTTGGTGGCAAGTTCCTTTATGTGCTGAGCCATTTTACTGTTCCCAAGCAGTTAGCTCAATACAATATGAAATTTTGTTAACTTTATAATGAACATATCCACTTAATTGGATATTAAAATACCCACTTTCTGGACTGAAGAGATGGCTCATCGGTTAAGGGTTTGCACTATTTTTGCTGATTTTGGTTCCTAGCAACCAAATAAGACAGCCCAAATCCTCCTGTAACTACACTTCCAAGGGACAGATTCCCTCTTCTGGTCTCTAAGAGTACATACCCATGACGACCACACACATACAATTTTTAAAGTAAATATTAAAAAGATAAAAATAAAATATCCACCCTCATAATACTACAACAAAATGTGTTTTTTATTAGTAATTAGGCTAATAGCAAAATTAGCACACTTTGACATTCAGAAGATACATGTATATTCCATATGGACTAAAAAGTAACTCTAAGGGCTGGAGAGATGGCTCAGAGGTTAAGAGCACTGGACTGCTCTTCCAGAGGTCCTGAGTTCAATTCCCAGCAACCACATCTATCATGCGATCTGGTGCCCTCTTCTGGTGTGCAGGCAAATATGTAAACAGAACACTGTATGTGTAATAAAAATAAGCAAATTCAAAAAAGATTTAAAAAAAAAGTAACTATATTGTATATTTAGAGCCATCCTAAAATGTATGGGTTTTTTTGTTTTTTTGTTTTTGTTTTTTGTTTTTTTTTTGGTTTTTTTTTTTGGTTTTTTTTTTTGTTTTTTTTTTTGGTTTTTCAAGAAAGGGGTTCTCTGTGTAGCTTTGGAGCCTGTCCTGGAACTCGCTCTGTGGACTAGGTTGGCCTCAAACTCACAGAGATCCACATGCCTCTGCCTCCTGAGTGCTGGGATTAAAGGCCTGCACCACCAACGCCCTTTGTATTTTTTTTTTTTAAGATTTATTTTTTCTGTATACAGTGTTTTTGTCTGTGTGTTTCCCTTCAGGCCAGAAGAGGGCACCAGATCTCATTACAGATGGTTGTGAGTCACTATGTGGATGCTGGGAATTGAACTCAGGACCTCTGGAAGAGCAACCAGTGCTCTTAACCTCTGAGCCATCTCTCCAGCCCCTAAAATGTATGTTTTATATTTACATTTTAAATTTTCAAGCTAAAAGTTGTTTAGAAATTTTCTTCGAGCCAGGTGTAGTGGCACAAATCTTTAATTCCAACACTTGGGAGGCAGAGGCAGGTGGATCTCTGTGAATTCAACGCCAGTCTGGTCTACATAGAGAGGGCTAGGACAGACAGAGCTGGATAATAGAGAGACCCTATGTCCAAAAAAAAAAAAAAAAACAACAAACTAAAACAAAACCAAATAAAACCCCACCTTTTTTTCTGAGGGATTAACAACATACTTTTAAATGTAAGCACCTTTAAACACGAGACATTAGAGCCTCCACTCAGATAAAATAACATAGACATTTTCTGTTACAGAGTAAGCGTATACAGATGGTCAATGTTACTGATCATAGGGATTGTAGCTCCCATAATTCCCTTCATGAAAGGGAATTTATGAGTTGAGAAAACACTCTGCAGGCAAATTGCTTGCAGTATAACCTGAGGACCTGAGTTCAGTTTCTGGGACCCACATGATGGAAGGAGAGAACTGACTTCAGCTAGTTTTTCTCTGACCTTCACACACACACACACACACACACACACACACACACACACAGAGAGAGAGAGAGAGAGAGAGAGGGAGAGAGAGAGAGAGAGAGAGACAGAGACATACACATACACACACATAAATATAAAAAAGATGAAATAGTCCTAAAAAAGAAAGTCATAACCCGACAAAAGGATTTTTATGTGCATTATTAAGAGGTATTTCCGTCAACACAAAGGGTTTTTATGGGGCTCAGAATATGGCTGGGTAGCTTTTTTTATGTCCTTTTGAGTATCTTTCAGGTCCTCTTGACACCAAAATATAAAACTAAATTTCTTCTCAAATTTGTTTTGAAAGGAAATCCTAATCAAAATCTGTTTATCTAATAGAAATTTTATAATTTAAAACTTTTATGTCCCAAATGAATGTTATTTTAAATACATAATCTGTACTTTCTGTATTTCAAATATCTCTTTAAAGCATTTCGTTTAGAAGATCAGCTACTTCTTGTAAATCCTGTAACAATATCTTTTGCTTTGCCTGTTTCTAGAATTAATTAACATTTGGAAACATCAGATTCAAACCATTGTGGTAGGGAGGACATTCTAAGTAATATTTCAGTTAGTTAATACTTCAGTTAGGTCTGACAGAAGTGGAGTCCTATATAAATTTGATTTTTAAAATCTAGTACCCTCGCCTGCCAGGCATTGGTGGTGCACGCCTTTAGTCCTAGCACTCAGGAGGCAGAGGAGGCAGATCTCTGCGAGTTCAAGACCAGCCTGGTCTACAAGAGCTAGTTCCAGGACAGGCTCCAAATCCACAGAGAAACCCTGTCTCAAAAAAACAAAACAAAACAAATCTAGTACTCTCCTCGGAGGCAAAGGCAGATGCAGATGAATTTCTGTGATTTCAAGGTCAGTCTGATCTATAGTGAGTTCCAGGCTTAGCCGGAGCTGCACAGTGAGAACTTGGGGAAGGGGGAGGGGGAGGGGAGCATCATCTAGTCCCATTTTATATGATTAGCTACTAAGAACTGTATTGTAGTTTACTTTTTAGAAGGAATTAAAAAGGAGGGCAGGGAGAGTAGCTCCTAAATCTGTCCTCAGATAGTCACATTGATGTTACAGATACACACCTTTTGAAGCAGGGATGTCAGAAACACTAAGTTCAAAAGAGAAGTGGAAAAATGAAAGGGGCAACCCCATGCTACAGTTATTTTTCAGGAACACTGCAGAAAGATTAAGTTTGTACCATGATGAGTTTACAAAAGACTAGTCAGCTAGAATTTCTCAAGGGGCCATCAAGGTATACAAACAATATTTTCCATGGCTACACAAATCACAGAGTTCTCAGCATGTTTGCTTCTCTGTCTCAAATAACCACAAAAAACAGACACATTTTAACCATCATGTGTAGATTTCCAGATCCTTCTACCAAACTAGAGATTCCTTCACAAGAGCTTTCGAATTGCCAAGGCCTATGGCTAGAGAGATGGCTCAGTTGTTAAGAGCACTAGCTGCTCGTTAAGAGGACCAGGGTCTGAGTCTCAGCACCTACATGGTGGCTCACAACCGTGACCCTAGTTCCAGGGGATCCAATGCCTTCTTTGCCTCCTTGGGTTCCAGACACACATGTCGTGCACAGACATATATGTAGACAAAACACCCATACATACACATACACACAGAGTTGACAAGGCCCCTAACATACAAATAGTATAATATAACTCAAATAGTTCAACAGAATCAAAATAGCTGGGAACTACAAAAGATAAAGCCTTGGGGAAAATTTCCGAGGGCCAGGCCAATACCAAGTGCAGCTCATTTCTCTGCTTCACCAAATAGAGGTAAAACAACAGCAGCAGATGAAAGCTGAAGTGGGGAAGAAAAAAAGTCCCTAGTGAGGCACACACCTTTAATCCTAGCACTCAGGAGTCGGCAGAGGCAGGTGGATCAATGAGTTTTAAGCCAGCCTGGTCCTCATAGTGAGTTTCAGGACAGCCAGAGCTTTGTAAAGAGATGCTGTCTTGAAAGAAAGAAGTCTCTGAAATAAAGTGACCCTAGCAGCTGCTGTGCCATTCAGCCTTTCCTCTCCATTGGGAATGAGTGGCTGACTGTTTCCTCCTGGCCACAGCTTGCCAACATTGTTACTATAGTTGGGGTCAGAGCTTGGGACCCAGCATCCCTACGAAGCTGGGCTTGGCTACCTATCCTCAAATATGTTAATTAAATGCACCATTAATAATGAAAAGCAGACCATGGAGGTGGTGGCACACGCCCACTCAGGAGACAGAGGCAAGAGGATCTCTGGAGACCAGCCTGGCCTACAAGAGCTAGTTCCTGGACAGCCTCCAAAGCCACAGAGAAACACTGTCTTGAAAAACAAAAAATAATAATGTAAAGCAGAAAAGGATTTATTCAGTGTGGCCACACTGGAAAGAGATCCAGTGAACACACCCCTGTCTGTTTTGGGGTTCTGACAGACATACATAAATTTTAGGTTGATAGAAGGTGTGTACTAGCCAGGTGGTAGCACATGCCTTTAATCCCAGCACTTGGGAGGCAGAGGCAGTGATCTCTGTGAGTTCGAGACCAGCCTGGTCTATAGATCAAGTTCCAGGCCAGGCTCCAAAGCCACAGAGAAACCCTGTGTTCAAAAAAAAAAAAAAAAAAAATGTGTACAAATAACTAACCATTCCTGGTCAAGGTATATGACCCCAGCTACTACTGTCACTGGCTCCCGTCTCCTGCAAGGTGGTCTGACAAATTGTCAGAACTTTGTGATCTATCTGAAGTGAAAATTTTCTCTGCTTGGCACCTGGGTTCAGACATTTTCTTCTCCCAAAATGAGATTCTTGGGAAAGTTCCAATATGTCCATTGTCCCAATAGTCTGATTGCTGTCTTCATTCTTGTGAGGATAGTTACACAGGAGTTACAGGCATGAGCCAGCAGGTCTAGCCACACCTAGCTTTTTAATAGCTTTTTCACCTGATGGTAGGTATTCTTTGATGCTACACCAAAGCTTGGAAAGTGGTAATTGTTTTGTGGTTCACACAGCCTCATGCATGCTAGACAAGCACTCTGCCATTGTATTGCAGCGCTCACAAGATAGGTGGTAATTTCTTAAAAGTTAGCTGCAAGGTTGATAATTTACCTCAGTAATACCCTGGGTTTGGTCCTCTGCACCAGGCGGGACAAATAGTTGCAAGGGCTGAAGAGATGGTTCAGCAGTTAAAAGTATTGGGTGTTCTTCCCAAGGACCTAGGTTCAGTTCCCATCACCTACTTGACAGCTCACAACCTCCTGTAACTTCAGTTGCAGGGGATCTGATGCCCTTTTCTGGCCTGCATCAAGTGCAGGCAGTGCACACAGACATACATTTAGGCAAAAGTAGCCATTCAAGCAAATAATTTAAAAATAATAAAATTACAACTGTCTGTCTTATACTTTCATTTTTTGGCTGTACTGGGACTTGAATCCAGATCCTTGCACATAGTAAAGAAGTTCTACTACTGAGCTGGTTTTTACTGTCCTTTAATTTGAGGTAAGTCTCACTAAATTACCCACACTATGCTTGAATTCATATTATAGTTCAGACAGGCCTTGAACTTTTGTACCATCGTGCTCAGATCAAGCCCAGTGCTTTGACGATAAGCAACCCTCTACAAAATGAGCCTTTGATTAGTTTTTTATGGCCCAGATTGGTCTCAAACTTGGAATCTTCCTGTTTCAACCTTCAAGAAACCGAAATTACTGTTATTACAGGCCTTAGCCACAAGGACCTACTTTGAATTTATTAACTTTCTGGAGGGGTGGTTCTGAGTACTCCATGGTGCATGTATAGAGATCAGAGGGCAACTTTCTGGAGCTGCTTCTCTCCTTTTACCATATGGATCCTAGGATTAAGCTCAGGTGGTCAGACTGGAGAGGTGGCCCTGGGTGACTTCTGTGAAGCCTGATGACCTGAGTTCAATCCCTAGAGCCATGTGGTGGAAGAAGAGGACCAACTCCTGTAAGCTGTTCTTGACACATACACACAAGAAAGAGACAGAGCCGGGAGAGAGATTGAAAAAAAAAAAATTGAGACTGGCCCCTCATATACCTCAGGCCTGTCTAGAACTCAGTGTGTAGCTGAACCCGATTTCGTGCTTCTCATCTGCCTGCCTCCACTCCTAAGTACTAGTATTACAGGAATGTACCTCCTGTCAGGGCAAGGACACCCCCCACCCCCACCCCCAGTTTGTCTGTGTAGCTTTGGAACCTTAAACTCACAGAGATCTGCCTGCCTCTGACTCCCGAGTGCTGGAATTAAAGGCTTGAGCCACCACCACCCTAAAGCACATGGCAATAAATACAGTAAGTTTATTTCACAATTTGATTTGAGCAATAGCAATTACACACTCCATGCTTTTTTATTTTTGTTTTTTCGAAACAGTGTTCCTCTGCGGCTTTGGAGGTTGTCCTGAAACTAGCTCTTATAGGCCAGGCTGGTCTCAACTCACAGAGATCCTCTATTTTCACTATCATTACAAATGATGCCTTAGTATTCTAGCAAAACTGCTTGGAGCACATGGATTCCTGTAAGGTTACTACTGTAGCTCAGGAGCCATAGACCACACTTAGAACTGCTGTCCTAAGCAAGTAATTGGCCAGTGGGAGTTTATTCTTGCCATGCTGGCCAAGGTATCACTTGCCCCTAATCTCAGTACCTTGAAAGTGAAGAGAGGAGGATTAGGAGTTAAAGGTTATCCTCATCTACATGATGAATTAAAGGCCAGCTTGGGATACCAGAGTTTCCGTCTCAAAAAAAAAAAAAAAGCAGTTTGCTTTCTGTAAACTTTGATTGGCATTGCATCATTTTGCCATAGCAAGAAAACAAAAAGATTAACAGTTGCAATTCATTGTAGAAAAGATACTTCTTAGTAGGAAAAATGAAAACTCCCAAGAGTGTAGGGGACTCCCAAAGAGGACTGCCTCCATGTGCCCTGCCCAGTGTCCTGTGTAAAAGCACTCTTAAAGTCAGAATCAGTTTTGTCCTTCTACCAAGAATTCTGGGGGATAGGACTCAAGTCATCCAGCTTTTGTAGAAAGCACTTTTGGGGCTGGAGAGATGGCTCAGTGGTTAAGAGCACTGGCTGCTCTTCCAGAGGTGCTGAGTTCAATTCTCAGCAACCACATGGTGGCTCACAACCACCTACAATGAGATCTGGTGCCCTCTTCTGGCATGTAGGCATACATGTAGACAGAACACTCATACCTAAAAAGAAAAAGAAAGCCCTTTGGCCTGCTGAGCCATCTCACAAGCCCTGCCTGGTGGCTGTTTATGTCTTACAAAGGAATTGGGTTGAGACGGGTCAGTCGTTATTGAAATTGGTCAGTTTTTGAGCTCATCAAAGGCGTGAGGAGTCTCCACACCCTACACGGATTTTTTGGCCCAACCAGAGAAGTGATCATGCCTTACTCATCCAATCCAGTCATGAGCTATAGGACTATCTCATGGTCCTCCAAGGCCCTTCCTTAAGGGTTATTAACTCAAAATTTCTATCAAGCAGCATTTTCAGATAGGTATCCTTGTGCCTTGCCTAGAAATCAGGGTGTATGTTTTGAACCATATTCTTTTTTTTTTTTTTTTTTAAGATTTTTTTTTTTTTTCTTACATATACAGTCTTGTGCCTGCATGCCAGCAGAGGGCACCAGATCTCATTCAAGGTGGTTGTGAGCCACCATGTGGTTGCGGGAATTGAACTCAGGACCTCTGGAAGAGCAGTCAGTGCTCTTAACCGCTGAGCCATCTCTCCAGCCCTGAACCATATTCTTTAAAATTATATTCCACCACTGGGTCTGGTGATGAAAACCTACTTGGGAAGTTGAGGCAGGAATATCACAGCCTGCCTGAGCTGTGGTGGCATACATTTCACACCACCCTGAGCAATTTAGCTAGATCCTCTCTCCAAATAAAAACAGGGAAAGAGCAGGTGTGGTGACACTGGACAGTAATCCTAGCACTTGGGAGGAGGAATCAGAAAGATCAGAAGTTTCAAGGTCATCCTTAGCTACATAGCAAATTTGAGGTCAGTGTGGGCTATATGAGCTCCTGTCCCCCAAACAAAACATCTTGTAAATACATTTCATTGTGACTATGGTGGCACATGTCTGTATCTTTGCATTTGGCCGGTGGGGGAAGAAAGATTTTGAGTTCGATGCTTCCATGGACTACATAGTGAGTTACAGGCCAGCCTGGACTGAATGGCAAAACCATGTCTTAGAGAAAACAAACAAAAAGCAAGAGAACATTTACAGACAACTGCTTCCCTTGTGTTGGAATTGCAGCTACCTGGATACTTTTGTTCCTATGCATAAAGATGTCTCTGGTGGATTTGGGGAAGAGGCTGCTAGAAGCTGCAAGAAAAGGCCAAGATGATGAAGTGAGAACACTGATGGCCAACGGGGCCCCATTCACCACAGACTGGGTAAGTTTAGCAGGAGGCCCCAATCGTTTCTAAGTGTGCCTTAACCTGTTCTAAGGCTAAACAGGCCTCACCTGTTGATTGCCCCTCTTTAGTTTTCCCATGTGAAAGTTGCCTGTCAATATGTAGGTAGTAATTGTGAGCTGTTAAATACTGGGAATTTTTCCCGTTTTTGATTTTTTTATATTTTTATTTGCAGTTGTGATTGTATATGCCTTTAGTCCTAGAACTCGGAAGGCAGAACTTGGTGAGTTTGAGGCCATCTGGTCTATATAGCAAGCTCCAAGACAGCTAAAGCTACATAATGACATCTTGCCTCAAAAAACAAACTCCCAAAAGTTATCTTCTGACCTCCACACATATATACCTCCCTGTGTGTACACAATCATACATGCAAATAAATATTACAAACACCAGGCATAGTTGTATACATCTTTTTGTTTGTTTGTTTCTGTTTTTCAAGACAGGATTTGTCTGTGTAACAATCCTGGCTCTCCAAACCCAGTATATTACTTTTTAAATTCTATTATTTCTTCATTCTTATCTGCCTAGTAAGATTCTTTCTCCAAGGATGAATACTACAGGTTCGTTTCTTGTTCATATATTTCTACCTAGAAGTGATACAGTTCTACACATAGTAGAATTCAGTGAGTATTGTTTTCCCACAGCTTGGAACATCACCTCTTCACCTTGCAGCCCAGTATGGCCATTACTCCACAGCAGAAGTGCTTCTTCGAGCAGGCGTTAGCAGGGATGCCCGGACCAAAGTGGACAGGACCCCTTTGCACATGGCTGCGGCTGACGGACATGCACACATCGTGGAACTGCTTGTTAGGGTAAAGCAGGAGCAGTGATGGGACTATGCTAGAAAACACACTCGCCTCCCATATTGTTTTTTTGGTTTTTTTAGTTTATTTTTAGTTTTTTATTATTTTTATTATGTATACAGTGCTCTGCCTGTATGTATCCCTGCATGCCAGAAGAGGGCACCAGATCTCATTACAGATAGTTGTGAGTCACCATGTGGTTGCTGGGAGTTGAACTCAGGACCTCTGAAAGAGCAGCCAGTGCTCTTAACCTCTGAGCCGTCTCTCCAGCCCCCATATTGTTTCTTAAACAGTGATAGGAAAATGGGCTGGAAAGACTTAACAGTAGATGATCATTAAGTTGTATCTCTATTTATTTAGGTTAATTTATTCATTAAAACCATGTTTCAAGAGTTGTGAAGATGAGTTTGTTTCCTAATTTTTTAAAGGTTAAACAGATTTTATTGATTTTTCTTTATCCCTTTTCTGTAGGTGTTCTCTGTACATATGCCTATTTTTTTTCAGGCCCTACTCAGCTTTCTGCTAATAAATGCAACAGAATCTGTTCCTTCCCCCTTCCTCAACCATCTGTTAGAATTTCCCAGTGATGTCCTTAACACACCCGCTCAGTGAAAGAAAGCATAATGTCTCAGCATCCAGACGGACTTGAGAATGTTTTCCCTTTGACACCCCTTAAGTGAGCACTCAAGCTAAACATCTCTGTTGTAATGGGATCTTAGGCCTGGGCTCTTGAAGCCTGCATCTGCTGAAAACCTGCTTCTCTCTAACAGAGTGGTGCAGATGTGAATGCCAAGGACATGCTGAAGATGACAGCTTTGCACTGGGCCACAGAGCACCACCACCGAGATGTGGTTGAATTACTCATCAAATATGGTGCTGACGTCCATGCTTTCAGCAAGTTTGACAAGTCTGCCTTTGACATAGCACTGGAGAAAAACAACACGGAGATTCTGGTCATCCTGCAGGTATGTTCTTTACATCCCCACGTACACCTCAACTTCTAGAATAGTCTGAGAGAGTTGGATTGAAACAGGATTTCCCCCATTTTATCAGAATAGCACCACTAATGTGCCTCTCTCCTTTCTCACACACACCCAGTAGAGACAGGGTGTCAAGGAGCCCATGGTGATCTCAAATTTTGAATGTAGCTAAAGATGACTCTTGATCCTTCTGTCTTTGCCTCACCTAAGCTAGAATTCCGGGCTGTACTACTGTGCCTGGCCTTTGTTTTGAGACAGAGTCGCACTGTGAAGCCTAAGATAATCTCTGCAACCAGGCCTGCACTTAGTATTTTTTCTTTTTTAAATAGACTTCTAAAAAGTTCCGTATCACTCATGGTGATTAGAGAACTATTCCAAAAATACTCATTGCTGACATTGCAGGTCTACAGACCTTTTCTGGTTTGATAGCTGCCCAATTTATGAATAATTTTTTTGCTTCTATAAATGGGTTAAATTGAAAGGAAAAAATGCAGTCAGAACAAAAGTAACATTTATTTGACTGTCCATTGTTTTTCTCTTCAGTAAAGTTTCCATTTCTAGTTAACTAGACTTGGAGCAATCTTAGAAGTCCCAGGCTGGCCAGATGGTGGTGGCACATGCCTTTAATCCCAGCACTCAGGAGGCTGAGGTAGGCAGATCTCTGTGAGTTCGAGGATAGCCTGGTCTACAAAGTGAGTTCCAGGACAGGCTGCACAGAGAAACTCTGTCTTGAAAAAAAAAGTCACTGGCACACTTCTTTGAATGATCCTAACATTCAGGAGTGAGAGACAGGAAGATCTCAATGAGTTTGAGTTCCAACACACCTTGGTCTACATAGCAAGTTCTAGTCCAAACAGGGCTACACAGTGAGACCCTGTCTTAAGAAAAGAAAAGAAAAAAGAATTATTGCTGCTGGAAATAGGGCTCAGCGATCAAAAATTCTCACCAATGGCAAGTGGTGATGCATAACTTTAATCCCAGCACTCGAGAGGCAGAGGCAGGTGGATCTCTGTGAGTTCGAAGCCAGCCTGGTCTACAGAGTGATTTCTGGGACAGCCAGGGCTATTACACAGAGAAGCCAAAAATGGAGAAATAACAATGCTTACCACACATTAAAAAGAAAATAATTTTAGATAAGAAGAAAGTCACTCTCCAGAGCTGGGAGTTAGCTTAGTTTGGAAAGTCTGTCTTGTAGACATGGGAACTGAATTTGATCCCCAGAACCCATACAGAAAAGCCAGGTGTGGGCCACTGAGGTGACTCAGTGGGTAAAGGCCCTTGCTGCCAATCTCACAGCCTGTGTTCAATCCCCAGGACCCACTTTAAGGAGAAAATCAACTCCAGCAAGTGTCCTCTCACCTGCTGTTGGGTGACAGGCTTTTCCTGGGGAGACACCATTTGTGTTGTATACCCAGTCCAGAAAGGGAGCCCATGGCAGACCAAAGTAACACCGTGTTGCACCAGAATTCATTTTGGTGAAGCAATGAGTTTTTATTGGGGTTATTAACAGAAGTGTGGATGAGGAGATCTTACAAGGAGCAGAGATAACACAAAAGCAGCTTCATCACCAGAAAACCCACCCGAGCATGGAAAACTGCAGCCCTGGAGCATGCTAGCCTGCTGTCAGGCAGTGCCACATTCCTGATGCCTTTGTTTCTGTGGTTGGCTGGTCAGTCTTCACCCCGAAACTATTGCTCCCTTCTACACTGTTGGCAGGGCCCTCACGAGTCTTCCAAGCTTCCATTCTTCTTTCAGATGTCGCTTTTTGCAGGTCAGCCTTTCCTTCTTCCCTAGAGCAGAGTTCCAGTTTAGAGGGAAAGCTGCAAATCAGAGGAATTCATGCCTTACAATCCATGTATGTGTGTGCCCTGACACACTAGTGCACACATGTATACATACAACAAATAAATTGTAATTAAAGGGCTGGAGAGATGGCTCAGAGGTTAAGAGCACTGACTGTTCTCTCTTCCAGAGGTCCTGAGTTCAATTCCCAGCACCCACTCTGTGGGCTCACCCCCATCCATTATGAGATCTGGTGCCCTCTTCAGGTGTGCAGATATACATGGAAGCAGAATCTTGTATACATAATAAATAAATAAATAAATAAATAAGTAAAATCTTTTTAAAAAATTGTAATTGAAATATTTGTAAAACATCTGTGGAAACAATCTACTTATAATCTCAAGGTTGGAGGAACAGAGACCGATCTCTGGTGCTTGCTGGCCATCCAGCCTTGCCTTCTTGATGAACTCCAGAGCAGTGAGAGACCCTACCTACCTCAGAAAAACAATAGATAGCATCTGAGGAACAATATTCAAGGTTGTCCTCAGGCTGCACCCTCCCATGCATTCATATCCATACAAAGTCACTATCTAGTCAAGAAGGCACATGCCTACATAATCCCGCCATTATAGTCTATGGAGGCAGGAGGAATAGAAATTCAAATTCATCTTCAGCTACATAGCAAGTTTAAGTGCCACTTGGACTACTTGAGACACTGTCTCAAAAAACAAACAAAACCCAACTAAACTAAAAGACCACAACAATCCTGAGCCTATGAAGTGTTTGTGCAAAGCCTCAGTGTATCTCTCCCCATACCCACACAAAAGGAAACAGATACCCAGACCTAAAGGCAGAGGCCCCCACCTCTCTACAAACACACACACCCTTCACCTGTTCCCCACAAAGACTGATCCTGAAGCCATCAAAAATTAAGTTCAAAGAAATTGGCTGGGCGTTGGTGGCACACAACTTTAATCACAGCGCTTGGGAGGCAGAGGCAGGTGGATCTCTGAATTCAAGACTGGTCCAATCTATATACTGAGTTCCCAAACAGCTAAAGCTACACAGAGTCTTTGAGGGACAGGTGTTTCAGTACAGGTTTCTCTGTGTAGTCTTGGCTGTCCTGGAACTTGCTCTGTAGATCAACCTGGCCTTGAACTCACAGAGATCCACCAGACTTTGTTCCTGAGTGCTGGGAGTAAAGTTGTGTACCACCACTGCCTGGTTTACCCAGAGAGTTGTTTTTTTTTTTTTAAGATTTATTTATTTATTATGTGTACAGTGTTCTGTCTGCATGTATGCCTGCAGGCCAGAAGAGGACACCAGATCTCATTACAGATCATTGTGAGCCACCACGGGGTTGCTGGGAATTGAACTCAGTGCTCTTAACCTCTGAGCCATCTCTCTAACCCCCTACACCAAGAGTCTTAAACAAACAAACAAACAAATAAATAAATCTAAGTGTGAAAAAAATAATTGGGTCAGTGAAGTGGCTCAAGTAGAGGCACCCGCCAAGTCTAATGCTCTGAGTTTGGTTCCCTGGACCCACATGGTGCAAGGAGAGAAAACTGACTGTTGCCCATTGTTTTCTGCCCTCCACATGCATAGCCACCCACCACCCCCACACACAAATATGATTAAAATTTTTTAATTGTATTCATTTTTCAGGAAGAAGTTATTATGTACTAGAATAAAGTACAAACCAGAAAAAGGGATGTGAACTAACATGGATGTTTAAAAAGAACAATAGTTATGTATCTAGACAATGTGCCGAGGACCTGGCGTTTGGGGATGCAGGTTCTGGGGAGTTATGCATGTGATCTTGTTACATGGTTAGTGAGATATTTCTTATGTGGGCCATGGGAACGTAGTAGAGGCTTATTTTGTGTATTGTTTTGTTTAGTTTTTTTGAGTGGGGGTTGAAAGATGATCTTGCTGTGTGTGACTCTGCTTCCTGTGGTACTTGCTATATAGCTTGTACTGACCTTAAACTCAAGGTGATCCTCCTGTTTCAGCTTCTGGAGTGCTGGGATGACAGGTTTGAATTGCCACATCTGGATTTAGAAACTCAAAGTCAGGATTGGTATGATTGTTTTAAGAAGGTAATTGAAGTTGGTACAGACAGTGTGTGGAGAAGTCAATGCTAAATAGCGCATGATTACTTTGATCAGGCCAGGCCAGCCTGTCCATGAGTGCTTCCACAGGGGAAGCTGGTAGAGGATAGAAGCCGCAGACTGAAGAATTTAACAGTATCCGGAGAATGAATAATCTGCTTCAATTGAAGTTCTCAGTCAAGGGGATAATTACATATGAAAAATAGCTGCTTGTGCATTTTTAGTTTTTGTTTGTTTTTCATGACAGATGGTTTTCCAAAGACTGGTTATTCTCAACTTTCCGTTATTGTCCAAAGTCTTTTCATAACTGGACGTTTTCATAGTTATCATGTTTATAGAAAACTTCTGAGACTAAAAGTAAAAAGATAAGCATCTTTTCACCAAATTGAGCAGACATCCTCGAAAACAAGGATGTAGCATATGGAACTAGACTTCAAAATCTGCCACTCATTTATCTGCTTGTTATATGCTCTCTGAGGAATTTCTTCAGTGGCAGAATGGAACAGGTTGTGGAATAAAACTCTAGAGAGTATTTTTCTCTGCAGGGATCTCCTGCTAGCACCTTGTCTTGTAGATAATTGATCACAGAACATCAGTGCTGCAAATTACCTTTTAGACTATCCAGACCACCAGTCCCCCCCCCTTTTTTTAAGTTTAAAAAAAAGGCTAAGTGAAGCATATAGAAGGCTTTGTGACGAGCACACCTCTGCTTTCTCAAGTAGAAACAAGCTGGGGAAAGTGAGATAGTATGTTGCTTTAATTTGAGAAAAGCAGCAGTTTTAGCTCCCTAGTTCTGCCTGGCAGAGCTCTGGTAGGGAGGGGCCGTGCTGGTCAGTGACTGTATGACTGAAGTTCTGACTTTGAAATACCCTGCTTTGTTTGGTAGGAAGCAATGCAGAATCAGGTGAATGTTAACCCCGAGAGAGCCAACCCAGTGACTAACCCTGTGACTGTGACTGCTCCATTCATCTTCACCTCTGGAGAGGTCGTTAACCTCGCTAGCTTTGTTTCTTCAGCCAACACCAAAGCAACCTCAGGTAATATTCTGATAATGAGACATCTATTTTAGGCTTAAAAATGAGCACAATCCCATTTTCCTAGACATGAATGGATATTCTATCTGGTACCCACTCTTATAAAAACTCTGAGGTAGAACACTTGCTGAGTGTATAAGACCATGGGCTAAATCTCCAATATCACAAAAAGGTAAAGTGAAAACATTTGTCAAACTCTTGTTTGTCAGTGTAGACATTGAACTTAGGTCCTCACACATGCTGAAGTGTTCTTTTTCTTTTTGCTGTTTGCTATTTGCTTGGTCTATTTAAGATAGTCTCACTGTAATGCAGGCTGGCCTTGGACTCATTGTATAGTTAATGCTAGCCTTGAACTTGTAACAGTCCTCCTGCCTCCTAATTGCTGGGATTATAGGTATATTCAACCATAGCCAGCTTTATAATAACTTTTAAAGCCAAGCATTTTTCTTTCTGGGAAAAGGAAGATTGTGGGGAATTATAATCAAGGGATTATAAATGGATGCTGTTAAAAAACAAAAGGTTTTTATCTGTCAAAAAGTTGTGCCTCCAAAAAAATTTTTTAAAGAAGAAAAACTTGCCAGGCATGGTGGTACATGCCTAGAATCCCAGCACTCAGGAAGGGAGGTAGGAGGCTCATAAATTTAAGATCAGTATCTGTTAAATTAGACATTGTCTCAGAAGTCTAGGTGAGATGAAGCAGGCCTTTAAATCTCTGCACTCAGGAAGCAGAGGCAGGTGGATTTTTCAGTCCCAGGCTAGCCTGGTCTACATAATAGACAAACAGTTGAACAAGCATCAACCAAAAAGTTATGCCTTGGGCTGAGGTGGGCCTTGGTTATTAAGTTTGCCTAGCGTGTTTAATAGCACACACATGATACCAGCACAAAGAAGGCTGGAAAACCAGGAGTTTAAGGTCATCCTCAGGAGTTCAAGGTTAATTTAAGGGGAAAAAAGCTATACCTGACTCTAAAATGAGAATATAATGGTTTCTCAGTGTGGTACTGCTAATGAAAATAATTAAATATTCTTAATTTAAAACAGTAACAAAGCTGGGTATGGTGGCTCACCCTTTAATCCCAGCACTCAGGAGGCAGAGGCAGGTGGATCTCTGTGAGTTCGAGGAAGCCTGGGCTACATTAAGTTCCAAGACAGCCTACACAGAGAAACCCTGTTTTGAAAAACCAAAAAGAAAAGAAAAAGGAACAACAGCAACAAAAAATCAAAATATAATAAAAATTGGCGACTGTTGAAATGCTAATATAAACGAGGCACGTGTGATTATTTGAATGAAGTAAACTTCATTTGTTCATGAGCATATATGTTGCTCACATGTATATCCTTGTGTGTGTATAGTTTTTTCTTGATTGTGTCTCATTATGTAGTAAACTGGCCTACCTACTTTAGCCCTCCATCACTGAGATTACAAGCTTACACTACTTTTATATGTGTATGTATTTTAATTATTTAAAACAGAAAAAAACACTTGGTATCAATCGTTTTTACAACTGAATGCTTTGGGGGTGGGGGATGGGGAGTGCTGAGAACAGGATCTTGTAGCCTAGGTTGGCCTTGAATTTGTAATCCCCAAGCTTTCATCTACCTTCCCAGTACTAGGATTGCAAGTGTGAGCCACCTAATCTATACACCTAGCCTGCGGACTGCATATTTAAACTCTCAAAAGGAGCAAATGAGTTATTTTCACCCTTCCTTTTATAGATATGTGTTCTATGACAGGAAATTTCCAAATAAATTTCCACTTCTTGATTTTTTTCTGTTCTGACTTTCAAAAATTAAATACAAGGCTGAGTGTGATGGTGTGGTGACTTGTGGCTCTAATCAGAGCACTAGGGAGGCAGAGGCAAAATCTCTGTGAGTTTGAGACCAGTCTGGTATCAGTGAGTTCTAGGCCAGTCAGAGCTACTCAGTGAGTCCCTGTTTCAAACAAAGAATCCCCCCCCCAAAAAAAGCCCAAACTAAATAAATAGTAAAGTACAGTGGTATTATATTTCTGACTCCCAGCACTCAGAAAACTAAGGCAGGGAGACTATCAAAAGTTTCTGGTCAGCCAGAGCTACATAATGAGAGCCTGTCTCAAATAAATGGAAAATGTATAAAACCAAATGAATAAAAATAAGTAACTGTAGCTCACTGATACAAAGTTTACCTACCATGTATGGACACTGGATTCAATCCTAGTACTTAAGGGGGGAAAAAAAGGAATAACTATATTCCCAAACAAGTTGTATCATATGAAAAGGAAGGATCTTTTTTGTTGTTGGTTTGGTTTGGTTTCGTTTTTTGAGACAGGGTTTCTCTGTAGTGTTGGAACCTGTCCTGGAACTCACTCTGTAGACCAGGCTGGTCTCAAACTCACAGAGATCCACCTGTCTCTGCCTCCCAAGTGCTGGGATTAAAGGCATACGCCACCACTGCCCGGCTGAAAAGTGTTTTCGATAATTCAAAAACCTTGATTAGACTTGTAAGCTAAAGTCTATAATCCTGTCTACTTAGGAGGCTTAGACAGGAGGTTCAAAAATTCAAGAATGGAGCCAACAAATGGCTCTGTGGGTAAAGCATATGCTGTGTGAGCTTGATGACTTGAATTTGATTCCCCAGAACCCACATGAAGGTGGGAGGACCCAGGTGCAGTGGTGTAATCCCCGCTCTTGGGAGGCAGAGGCAGTTCTTTTTAGTTTGAGGCCATCCTGGTCTATATATCACGTCCCAGGGTAGTCAAGGCTACATAGAGAGAGATCTTGTCTGAAAAAAAAATTTTAAAAATGAACTGAAAAAGCAAAGCACCAGTGTCCTCTAGAATAGCAGCCAGTACTCTTCACTACTGAGCGTCTCTCAGGCCACTAGTTTTCCTTTTGACAACAGGGTCTTACACCATAGCTCAGGCCAGCTTTTTACTTAGTGTAGGCCAGACTAGTCTGGCAGTCGTCCTCCTTAGCCTCCCGAGTTCTGAGGTTACAGGTGAGACACCATGCTGGCTTCAGGTTCTGACATCATCCTAAATGTGTTCTGATGCTTTAATTCTATAAACTGTTGTGGGTGTGGTGGTATACACCTATGATCACCATACTCTGGGGAGTCAAGGCAGGGTGATGGAAAGTTCAAAGCCAGCCTAGGGCCTGCGGTAATAGTTCAGTCAGTAAAGTACTTGCCTTACAAGCTTGAGGAACTGAGTTGTATTCCCAGGACCCACAGAAAGAAAGACAGGCATGTTGGCTTGTCCTTGAAATGCCAGCAGCACTGGATAGGCAGGACAAAAACAGGCAGATTCTTGGCCTTGCTAGCTGGCCAGCCTCACCTGTTTGGTGACCTCCAGAGCTCCAGGCCAGTGAGAGACCCTGTCTTCAAGTTAATAGCCCCTAAAGAACAACACCAGGGGTTACCCTGTGACCTCATGGTACAGACATGCACACACACTCACACCACACACACACACCCTAAACAACATAACAAACTGTCTCAAGGTTATAACAAACTTATCCATGTTCTGAATAGATAATAAGATGTCAAGGGCTGGACAGATTGCTCAGAGGTTAAGAGCACTGGCTGCTCTTCCAGAGGTCCTGAGTTCAATTTCCAGCAACCACATGGTGGCTCACAACCATCTGTAATGAGATCTGGTGCCCTCTTCTGGAATGTAGGCATACATGCAGACAGAACACTGTATGATGTCCCTAAGCCAGGTCTGGTGACACAGACCTATAATTGTAGCTATAGGAGAAGCTAAAGCAGGAGGATTAAGTTTCAAGGCCTGCCTATATTACAAAGAGAGTTCAAGGCAAGCCTGATCAAGTTGTTGAGATCCTGTCTCAAATAAAAAGCCAAAAGAGTGAAAGATGTCAGTACAATAGAGGACATTAAGACAAGAGATTATTCCTTGAAGCCAAAGATTTATTTACTGCCGTGAAGAGACAGACAACAGCTGGTGGTGACTTTTAGGAGAGTTCAGGCCCCAGCACTGAAGACAGATTTTTCTCTTTTTAGGATACAGAAAAGACTTTGTCTCAGACAAACAAGCAGGAGACTGCAGAGATGGGTCAGCAGTTAAGAGTGCTTACCCCTCTTGCAAAGGACCTGGGTTCTGTTCTCTGTGCCCACATCAGAAGGCTCATAACTGCCTGTTGTAACTGCAGTAAAGGGGATCCAGTGCCCTATGGCTCCTGAGGGTATCTGCACACGTGTGATGCTCATAAACTCATTCTGGCACACACACACACATATGCATAAGTAGATTTTTGTTGTTATTTGTTTTTGAGACAGGGTTTCTCTGTGTAGCTTTTGGAGCCTGTCCTGGAACCTGCTCTGTAGCCCAGGCTGGCCCAAAACTCACAGAAATCCTCCTGTCTCTGCCTCCTGAGTGCTAGAATTAAAGGCGTGTGCCACCACCACCCAGCTCAGTAATTTTTTTAAACCTAGCAAATTACGAGTTGTTTTTGATTGCTAATGACTGGGAGGCTCCATGTGTCCCAACCTCATGAAGGACTACCTGATGGCAGACCATTGCTGCATCACAGAGTACTGCTTGGCAAGCAAAAAGCCCTGACTTTAGTATCTAGTATGACCCCAACACAAGCAAAATTTATCTAAAACTTGATTAATCATTGTCTCACTTGGGAGGATTTATGGGTTCTTACATTAACCTTTAGTTACCAGCCTGACAGACTAAAAGGTCAGAAACACAGGAACCTAACAGAACACTCAGGAATAACAAGCAGCTGAGTCCAACATGTGCTTATTAGCAATACTCGAGGTCCTGGACATCAGGCACTATACTCCACTCAGCTTTCTAGATGTTTCAAGACATAAGAGTGTCTGTCCCCCCTCATCTCTGCCCGAGTCATCAGTCAAAAGTGTGGGGGTTTTGTTTGGTTTTAGATATAGAAGCCAGATATTGTGATGTACACTTTTAATCCCAGCACTGGGAGCCAGAGGCAACAACCCCTTCTCCAACACACACAGAGCCACAGGTGGTGGATGTCTGCTTGGTGAGGTACAGTTTCTTTTGTTATTGAATCTCCACTAGTTTTAAATTATATTAAAATAGCAAAGAGTTTTGCTGAGCATGGTGGAGTACTCCTTTAATCCCAACACTCGGGAGGTAGAGGCAAGTGGATCTCTTTGAGTTCAAGGCCAGCCTGGTCTATAGAGTAAGTTCCAGGATAGCCAGGGCTATACAGAGAAACCCTGTCTAGGAAAAAAAAAAGTCTTGAAGCCGGGTGTTGGTGGCACACGCCTTTAATCCCAGCACTCAGAGGCAGAGGCAGGCGGATCTCTGTGAGTTGGAGGCCAGCCTGGTCTACAGAGCGAGTTCTAGAACTACATAGGAGACCCTGTCTCAAAAAAAAAAAAAGAAAGAAAAGAAAAGATATACTTGGAAATGAACAAGAGAGTGGTGTGGCACCCTATCAGGAGAAACACACTGTGGTAACTGTTTCAGTTTGCTCCCTGGTTTGGGGTAAATCATTTAAGTTCTCCAGGTCACTAGTTTCCTCATCTGGCATGGTGGTTGTGTTAGATTTCTATTATAACATTTGAACTTTGTGGTTTCTTTGGGTGTTTTGTTGTTTTTGAACCAGGATCTCATAACTCCCAACGCTTGCTTCCCTTGCCCCTCCTCCCGAGCGCTAGGACTATGGCTGCATGCTACCACTCTGGTTCATTCTTCATTTCCTTTCCTTTGTTTTGGTTTGGTTTGGTTTGGTTTTGAGCCTGTCCTGGAGCTCACTCTATAGATCAGGCTGGCCTCAAACTCAGAGATCCGCCTACCTCGGCCTCTGCCTCCCAAGTGCTTGGATTAAAGGCGTGTGTCACCAATGTCGGTCGAGAACAGTGTTTTCATTGAATTTCCTTGCTGTGTCTCCTATGGATGGGATGGCCCAGCTCCACTTACGTTAAGCTCTTGGTGACTTTCAGACTGTGACTCCTGTTAAGAAGGAGAAGCTCTATGGGAATGCTTCCCCTGGCAGCACTTGGCCTCTGGGTCATCGACCAACCAATGTCAACTGCACTCACAAGTGTAAAACTCTCAGGACTGTACCTGGCGCACAGTGAGCAGTCTGTAGTATAGCTCTGTTCATGTATCAGATAAGAAAAGCCACCATCCATGCAGCTTGTCTGTTAAACTTTTATGCATTGATAATTTAATATAAATTTGTTAGTTCACTACTAAATGTCTCCATATTTTTAAATTAGCCATATTAATTTACAGGTTTTTTTTTTCAAGTTTCATACATTTATTTAGACTTTCAAGATGATACCTAAAAAAAAGATTCTAAGATCTTGGAAATACAGCATACCATACCCAAAAGGGGAAATCCCAATGCTCATTATCCTATTAATCTATTAAAGCTGATGATAATGGTTCCAAAACAAAAGATTTAACACTCGGGTCAAGTGGTTGCCCAACTTTCACAAGCTCCCGAGTCCTTTTCCAGTACCGAGTAAATCAGGCTTGGTGGCTCGCACTTGAAGTTCCAGACTTGTGCAGTAGAAGCAGGAGTATCAAGGGTTCTAGATCATTCTCAGCTCCACTGTGAATTTGAGGCTATCCTGGACTATAGGAGACCCTGCTCTTCCTCACCACCCCTTAGAAAGTATGTGTGTAGCTTAGTTTTCTTAGAGACAGAGACTCATGTAGTTCAAGCTAGCCTCAAACTCATATGTAGCTTAGAATTTGAGACCCCCCTGCCTTTCTTTGCCTACTAAATAATAGAATTTTACTAAGGACCCACCATACCTGGGAAGTTAAAGTGTATTTCAACTAGCATTTCAAAATGTATTTATGTGTAGGACCTATCTCTTTTTTGTTATTTGGGAGTTGTTTTTTGTTTTTTGTTTGTTTCTTGGGACAGACACTACATAGCCCAGGCTGGCCTGGAACTCATGGTGATTCTCCAACCTCAGCCTCCTGAGTGTTGTGATTATAGTATATGCTGCCAACTATGCCCTAGAACCTGTCTTTATTGAACACTTTTAATATCTCAGTGAGTCCCTGTGTTCTTTTCTCCTGACTTACTATTCATTAAAGTTTTTCTGGATGGTTATTGTTGCTCAGTCCCATAATCCTGACACATGGGATACTATGATAGGCTGAGCCTGCCTGAATACAGAGGCCCTATCTCAAAAAATCAACCAATTTTTTTTCTTTTTCAAAAATATTTGGAGTAGTATTTCAAAGAGGATGGTGAAACTTGCATTCTTACTTTTTAAAAAATATTTATTTATTTATATATTTATTTAAATAAGCCTGACGTTTTGAATTCACTTTTGTTCTCTCCATCTAACTTAGAGGAAATAGAAGAAGGAAACTCACTTGACTCCTCAGTCCAGCAAGTGGTGGGGAGTGGAGGCCAGAGGGTCATTACCATAGTGACTGATGGCGTCCCTCTGGGTAACATCCAAACCTCAATCCCTGCTGGAAGCATTGGCCAGCCCTTTATTGTAACTATGCAAGATGGACAGCAAGGTAAGTTATATCCAGTAGACAAATGCTTATTTAAAGGTGTTTTAGATATGCCATATTCCCTTAAGAATGAGGTAGTAAGATGGGTTGCAGGAGTCGGGGAGAGGCTGGAGAATGATAGAAGAATCTCTAAGAAGAAACATCACCAAGCTATACAGGCTAATTTAATTTCTCTCACAGATCCATAATTTGTGAGTAAAAATGAATGGTCTCAAACCTCACATGGTGGCACATGCCTGTGCTAACAGCACCTTGGGCTACACAGAGAGGACAAGCTCAAAAAAAAAAAAAAAAAAAAAAAAAAAAAAACAGAAAAGAAAACTCAGATCAGAAAACACATTAGATGCTAGGCACAGGTCAGGAACTCAGCACTAGGGAGACAGAGGCAGGAGCATGGCTGTAAGTTCTGGACCAGCCGGATCTACATAGTGAAGTTCTTGAAACAGTAGCTCACAAAACAGGCTGAAGAGATAACTCAGTTTGTAGAGTGCTCGTCTACTGTGCAAGAGAGTGCCCATCCACAAGTCAAAGAGAAAGCTCCACAAGAAACTACGCCACACCTTGGTCCAGCCTCCAGAAAATAGATTTTTGTCACTGTCATGTTTTGTAATGACAGTTCTAGCAAGCTATAAAGGAGGGAAGATAGATAGTCTAGGGTTCACTCCATGTATCCATTCATCCTTTGCAACTGACTCAATACAATCTGACTTTAATCCCAGTCTGTTCCCTTTAGTCTTTGAGTCATTTTGTAGTCAGATGTCCTAGAGCTTGGAGTTTTCTGTACTTTGTCATAATCTCCTGCATAAGCTGGGTGTAGTGGCTCATGCCTGTAACCTCCACACTCAAGAGGCTGAGGCAGGAAAATGGCTTGTAATTGCTGTCTTTCCAGTCCTGTTTTATTATTCAAGAGAAGAATCATTCTCTGAGGAGCAAATGGGAGTTGGGGGGGAGGACTGGGAGGAGAGAGGGGATGGGGTACTGAAATTAGAATATAAAAAATAAATTAATAAAAATGTTTTAAAAAAAGAAAACTAATTTTTGGGCAAGATCTTAATCTGTACCTCAGCCTGGCCTCAAACTCACTATGTAACCTAGGGGGACGATAAACTCAGAGCAGTCTTCCCATCTGTTTCCTGGGCACTGGAATTACAGCTGTAACCACCACCCTGTATTTTGTTGTGATTTTTTTTTTCTTTTGAAACAGTAGCTTTCATAGCATAGGTTGGCCCTAAACATCACAAGATGACTTTGAATTCGGCTCCTCTTGCCTCTACTTCCCAAATGCCTGCTAGGATTATTGGCATGATCAGTATTCACCCCCCACCCCCGCCCCCCAATTTTGCTGTGTTTCTTTGGCTAGCCTGGTGCTCACTGTGTAGACCAGGATGGCACAGACTTGAAGCTATTCTTCAGTCTCAGCCCCTTGAATGCTGAGATCACAGGCATGCACCACCATGTTTGGCTAAGCCAGAGGCCTTTGTCTTAAGAACCTGAGAACTGTGTGGTTTCTGAGCTGCCAGTTCTTCCTTCCTGGGCCCTGCATATCTGTTCTTTCTGTGGGGCTTCACCTTACCTTTTAACTTCAAACACCGTGCTTCATTGTTTTTGGTTTTGCTTTTTGAAACAGGGCTACAGAGAGCCCTGCTGTTGACCAGGCTGAGCTCAAAATCAGAGCTCTGCCTGCCTCTGCCTCCTGATCATGGAGACTGAGGGCATGCACCCCACAGCTAAAGATTCTAAGCTCGCCGGGCATTGATGGCACACTCCTTTAATCCCAGCACTCGGGAGGCAGAGGCAGGTGAATCTCTGTGAGTTCAAGGCCAGCCTGGTCTCCAGAGCGAGTGCCAGGATAGGCTCCAAAGCTACTCAGAGAAACCCTGTCTCAGAAAACAAACAAACAAACAAACAAAACAACAACAACAACAAAAAGATTCTAAGCTCTAAGAGATATCACGAACAGTGTATGGCATTGTATTGGGGGGGGGGGGGATATGACCTGATAGTAAAACACTTCTCTGACATACAAGAAGCCATGCCAAAATAATAGTATTATTTTGATAATAACATTATCGCTCTTTTCTAGTTAAAATCAAACAAGCCTTCTTTGTATATTGTGTGCTCATTATCTCCCATTGGTATGCTTGGCTTGTAGTTCTAACTGTACCTGCTGGTCAGGTTGCAGAGGAGACAATAATTGAAGATGAAGAAGAGGAAGAAGAGAAGTTGCCATTGGCAAAGAGACCAAGGATGGCAGAGATGACAAACAGTGTTGAGGAAAGCAAGGTAATAAGATCTTTACCATGAGAGACAGAGAAGGAAAAGTGAGGAAATGGAAGCCATGGGGATTAGAGGCACAGCCATCTTCACCTTCTTGTCTGTCTTCTTTGCTCTACAGGAAGGCAGTGAGAGAGAACTCCTGCAGCGGCAGCTCCAGGAGGCCAATCGAAGAGCCCAGGAATACAGACACCAGCTTCTCAAGAAAGAGCAGGAGGCAGAACAGTACCGACTCAAGCTGGAGGCTATGGCCCAACAGCAGCCCAACGGAGTTGATTTCACCGTGGTTGAGGAGGTAGCTGAGGTGGATGCTGTAGTAGTGACAGAAGCGGACGTAGAAGAAAGAGCAACAGAAGTGATAAAGTCAGGAAGGACCACAGAGCCTCACACTAGTGTTTCCATAGAAACTGTTTCATCTTAACACGCAAAGGCCACAACTTGCATTCATTCATCTTACTGTCTGTAAGAAGGCAACAATAGCAGGGCTCAGTGCCTGGGCCCAGGAAGGCTGTGTGTGCAGCTGGAAAACTCAGCCACCTTAAGGGCATCTAAGGGACCAAAAGACCAGGACCAAATCTCTCAGCTCACATCATTGCTTTAAACAGAGTACTGGGCATTGCGGGTCTATTTTTTTTAATAACTTTATATCAAAGATTTTAAGATAGTACATATAATACATATACACCAAGAGCCTTTAATAATTTTACCTGAGATTTTCAAGTGACCTGAAATTTGCCCTAGATTTATGAAACTGATAACAGAAGTAGGAAGCCTCCTCCTGAGATACCATACATTCCTTTCTTTTTTCCTTTTTTGGTGGGGTGGGGCAGGTTTGAGAAAGGGTTCCTTTGTGCATCCCTAGCTGTCATGGAACTCACTCTGTAGACCAGGTTGGCCTTGAATTCACAGATCCACCTGCTTCTGCTTCCCCAGTGCTGGGATTAAAGGCCCTCACTGCCTGGCTAATGATACTGTACATTTCTAAGAGAGCAGACACACAAGCCATCCCTAGTTAATTCACTGAAAAGGAATCTATAAGCTAGGGATGGTAGTACATACCTATAAAGCCAGCAATCAGGAAACTGAGACACAGCTAATGAGTTTGAGGTCAGCATGAGCTAAAGACTCCTTCAGTGAAAGAGGGACAGGTGTGCTGGTGAACACCTTAATCCCAGCACTCTGGAGTAAAGACAGTCGGATCTCTGTGAGTTCTAGGCCAGTCTAGTCCACATGTCAAGTTCCTGGCCAGCCAAGGCTACATAATGAGACCCTGACTCTAGATAAAGCAAAGCCAAACAAAACGGGAATAGAGCAGTGGATTAGTAGTTTAGAGTATTGCCTGCTCTTCCAGAGAACTTGAGTTCAGTTCCCAACAGCCATATGAGGCTGCTCACAACTGCATGCAATCCCAGCTGCAGAGGATCAACTGCCCTTTTGTGGCCTCTCTGAATACCCACACATATACATATAAATAGAAATTTAAAAGTTAAGTTAGTTGAATGCCAAGGTACGTACTTAGGGAACATGAGGCAGGAAGATTGTCCCAGGTTTGAAGTCAGCTTGAGCTCCATAGTGAATCACAGGTTAGCCTAGGCTACAGTGCAGCACCTTAATGCAAGGAAGTTAAATCAAGTGTGGTGGTGCACACCTCTTCCAGTGCTCAGGGGGAGAAGCAAGTGCATCTCTGTGAGCTTGAGGCCAGCCTAGTCCTCAAAGAGAGTCTGGGATAGCCAGGACTACATACAGAGACCCTGCCTCAGAAAGAAAGAAAGAAAAGAAAGAAAGAAAGAAAGAAAGAAAGAAAGAAAGAAAGAAAGAAAGAAAGAAAGGAAGGAAGGAAGGAAGGAAGGAAGCAAAGAGAGGTCACTTGTGATTGCCTGATAAATTTTATGTTCATAGTTTAGACACCAGTTTAAAAAAATAAAATTAAATGAGGCATAGTGGTAAATGCTTGTAATATGTAATCCCAGCTGTGAGGCCGAGACAGGTTGGCCACTTGCAAATTCAAGGTCAGCTTTGACTAAAGTAAGATTTTCCTAAATAGAGAAAAGAAACACACACACCAAAAACTCTGAACTGGCCAGGCTCTGTGTGCTCTCATCCCTGCACTCAAGAAGCAGAGGCAGGCAAGTCTTTGGGATTCTAGCCAGCCTGGTCCACATAGTGAGTTTCAAGCCAGCCAGAGCTACACAGATCCCAAATAACAACAGCAAAAAAGTCTGAGGACATAGCTCAATAGTAGAACATGGTGCTTCGAGTGCAAGGAAGCCCTGGGTTCCTCCTTTGGCACTGTATGTACACAACAAAGTGAGGGGCAGAGAGCAAAGAAAAAAACTGACATCAAACTTTTAAATGCCAGAAAGACAATTTACTTATGTGGAGTGTGTATGTAAAACCCGAGTCCTCCAGACTGCATCTCCTGAGACTGGGCGGTGGTCAGAAGGAGGCTTCTGAGCTATGAAAGCTCTGGTCCTGAGATGGAAACTGTGCTGGCTGCACTTCTGAGATTGCAATCAGGGTCATTTGTGTCATAGCATCTTCTTTCCAAACATCTGTTTATATAAAGTCAAGCTCAAACTCTTTAAATTCTGTAACATTTGGTTGAGTATTCTATGTCGCATAGGACATTGGTGCTTTCCTATAGCACTTACCAATCTACAACCAAAAAGAAGTGTGCAGAGTTGAAGGTCGACGCCATGTAGGCTTGTTTGTGTTTGATTTTGGATGAGTAAATTGCTGGTTTTGTTAATGTGAGCCAGTAGAACTCTGTGCCTTATAGTGTTCAGGACAGGTGACAAAGGGGGCAGGTGTCACTGCCACAGAGCAAGGAGCCATACATCCGAGCCCTTGCTGACCTCCCTCTCTCCTACTCTCTGCTTACTTTTGCAAAGGTTTTCAGGGCTGGGTGGTGATTGAGGTGGGGTTGGGGTAGGTTTCTATTAACAAGAAGTGGTAGTTTTGCTTGTGTAGCTGGGCATTGTGCTCATGCCCTGGGATCTCAGCACTCAGGCGGCTACAGCAAGAGGATTAACATGAGTTTGAAGTCAGCCTGAGCGACACTGTGAGAACCTGTCTCAAAAGCAAGGCAGTTGAGCATGGTGCCTCATGCCTGTAATTCCAACTCAGAAGGCTTCCGCAGGAGGGTTGCTGTAATCTCAAGGCCAGACTACCAGGCAACTAGTGAGTTCTCTAAGACAGCATGGGCCTCAGAGCCGCCTGTCCGTCTCCCTTGTCCTCCTCCCCCAAAACACAGGGTTTCTCTGTGTACACCTGGCTGTCCTGGAACTTGCTCTGTAGACCAGGCTGGCCTCGAACTCACAGAGATCCATCTGCATCTGCCTCTGCCTCCTAAGTGCTGGGATCAAAGGTGTACACCACCACTGCCTGGCTGAGACACCTGTCTTAAAGAAAAAAGAAAGGGTTAAGGAAGAACCCTTGCCTATTGTTTTATGAGGTCCTAGGTTCAATCCCCAGGACTGAAAAAAAAAAAAAGTACAACTCTAAACAGGTGTGATCGTACATTTCTATAATCTCAGAACTAGAAGAGGGAGTCAAGAGGTCAAAAGTTGAGGGCCAACTCATACCCTGTCCCCCAACAGGGGGAAAGATACCTGAAAGCAGAGGGAGAGGTTTGGAAAGATATGTAGACTTGCTTGCTTTATTGCAGATTAGAAGAAACCAGAGGAACATGTGCCAAGTACACATTTTTTTGTTTTTTGTTTTGTTTTGTTTTTTTCTTCAAGACAGGGTTTCTCTGTGGCTTTGGAGGCTGTCCTGGAACTAGCTCTTGCAGACCAGGCTGGTCTCAAACTCAAAGAGATCCACTTGCCTCTGCCTCCCGAGTGCTGGTACTAAAGGCGTGCGCCATCAACGCCTGGCTCAAGTACACATTTGAATGACTGTTGAGAATATGTTTCCTAATTAGTGATCATGAAGAAAATGTGCGTTTTTAACCTGGAAAAAGCTTAACACTTAACATGGTTCTTTTTATCTTGATTAGTGGAATAATTTGTTGCAGTGTTTCAAAGGTGTAGAATCATTTTTGGCTCAAAATAGGCTGAAAAGATAATTCTCTAAATCAAGTTTCACAAACAGAATTGACTATTAGAGATTTATAGGCAGAAATAGCTGTTTTGAAATGAATCTTGGCTACTGGCACTTTGACTAGGTCTGCTGCTCGGATCTGAGCATCAGGGATTGTTCTGGTGCCTTTAGAGTGTCTGGAAGCACAGTGGAGGAGGCTGTGTGCAGCTAAAGCTGGAGCTGTGTCTGCTGCCGATCATACTGTTCCTGTTGCCAGGTTCTTCTGAGATACCGGGAGAATGGGTGCTAGCAATAAGCTGCTGTGTGTGACATTTTAGGGCCTTGGCTCAGTAGAGGGAGCAAGTTTCTTTTTACATAGCTTTTGTTTACATTCTTGGAACATATGTTGACTTTCATTCCCTCCCTCCTTTTAAGGGGTTGGAGATTAACTCTGCAGAGGACATCCACGCCTAACCACCTCATTATCTTGGTAGTTACTGTGGAGAAGGGATCTGTCCATCTAGTCCTCCTCCCTCCTGAGCAGAGGGAGCCTGGTTCATTGTTCCAAGTTACTTTTGAACATGAGGTCTCTGTTTACCATCTCAAAAAGGAAGTAGACCTTGCTTTTCATTTATACTGCCATGGGGATGAGAGGGTGTGGGGGAGGACACTTTTAATTAGTTAGAAATTAAGTATTGGACAGCCAAGCATGGGGACACGTGTGAAATCCCAGCACTGAGGAGGCTGAAGCAAGAGGCTGTAGAGTTAGAGGGCACACTGGGCTACATGACTACACTGTCTCAAAAACAGAAAAGATGGGGCTAGAGAAATGGCTCAGTGGATAAGAACGCTTGTGATATACAAGTGTGAAGGCCCAAATTCAGATCTTCTAACAAGCCCTAGTCCCTGGGGCACCTATAACCCTAACCCTCTAGCAGGCTGAAGAAGGAGGGTCACTGGGCTTTGCTGGATGCCATCCTCACCGCAAAGGTGAATTTCAGGTTCAGGGAGAGACCCTGTCTCAAAGGGATACATCAGAAAGTAATGGAGGAGAACACCCAGCATTTCTTCTACCCTCCGCACATAGACATACAGCCCCAGACACACACATGCACATACACCACGCTCACACACAAAGAATAAGTAAGTAGCCGGGCGGTGGTGGCGCACGCCTTCAATCCCAGCACTCGGGAGGCAGAGGCAAGAGGATCTCTGTGATTTCGAGACCAGCCTGGTCTACAAGAGCTAGTTCCAGGACAGCCTCTAAAGCCACAGAGAAACCCTGTCTCGAAAAACCAAAAAATTAAAAAAAAATAATAAAATAAATAAAGAATAAGTAAGTAAGTAGAGATTAAATACACTGATGCTATTTCATGACTTCACATAACCTTCTGGGTCAGCCTTTTTTAAGTTTGTAGCCCAGGCTGGCTTCAGACTCAGGGCAATCCTCCTGCCTCAGCCTCTTGAGTGCTGGGATTATAGGTGTGAGGTCCACATCTGGATTGGGTCAGTTGAGAAGATACCATGGATCTTCTGGGTTAAGTAGTCCCAGCTGATTCCTAAGGCTGGATACATGAGAACCAAGTAGCAGATGAGCTGTCCTGGGGCTGGAGCTCAGCTGGAGAATGCCAGGCTTAGGACTCTACAGGGTAGCTGCTGGGGAATACCAGTGTTAATTCAGGGATGTAGACCCTACACAGAAAAAAAGAACGTGACAACTTCTGTTCTTCCTGGCTTCAGGGAAATTCATGACACGCGTAAATGTGCCTTCCCTCCATGTTCCTGCCTCTGTGGGGACATATTATAATGCCAAAGCAGAGCCCTCAGGCTCATATAGGAAAAAGTACTTTAGGGATTTTTGCTCTGAATTCTGTGCCTTAAAAGATACTCTTTCTCTGTCAGATGTGTATTTACCTTTTTTTTTTTTTTTTTCAGACAGGATCTCACTTTGTAGCTCTGGCTGGCCTCAACCTTATAGAGACCTGCCTCTGCCTCCAGAATGCTGGGAGTAAAGGCGCCTGGCAACAGATAGTTTTATATCCCTTTGCTGGGTGCATATTAGTAGTGTACATGTATGTAAATACATAATGGATCTTTCCCAGTTTTCTCTTTGAGGTTCAGCTCTAAATTATCTGGGATAACCTGGAAGCTTATTAATTGCATAGATAGGGCTTCTTTGAATCTCCTTCACCCAAGGGGTGCAGGGAGTGGGGGAAACATTGAATAAGGAGAAATATGGGAGTGGAGGCTCACGGGGAAGCAAGTGCAGACACCATGGTCAGTGCACAGGGACAAAGATCAAAGTGAGCTGCTCTCCACTGCCTTTTCCTGCTGTTGACGCTGCCGGAGAAGCCCTCAGAGCCGGGTATGGTGGCACACAGTCCCAGCACCAGGAGGCAGAGGCAATGGATCTCTGTGAGTTCCAGGCCAGCCTCGGCTATACAGTTAGACCCTGTCTCAAAAGAAAAGCCCTTATGCTTGTGGACAGGAAAGAGCCCAGGTGAGGGACAGTCCTTCTGGACTCCACTGCCCCAGCTCATGATCTCACCATGTGAGAAATAACTCATTCTGAGGAAGCTTGCGTGGCTGTCTCCTAACACCAGTCACCTCAGATATTCAGATATTCCAGGGCTAGAAGAGTTGAGATACGCAGTGAACTCTTGTCTGAGGTCTAACAGTGATCAGGAGTCACTTTTTGCCCCAATTTACTAGAGACTGGCTTACCGTTCTCTACTCACAAAGTTTCTGTCAGGGCCACCAGAGTGCACTTTAAGCTTTTACCTCCTTTTTTGTGTTTCGTTTTACTTCTTTGAGACAGGGTCTTACTCTAGCCCAGACTGACCTGGAACTTGCTGTGTAACCCAGGCTAGCCTCAGACTCACAGCTGTCTTTATACCATGGTCTCCCATGTCTTGGGATTACAGACATGAGTCACCATGCCAGACTGGCGCTAGCTCCATTTTATGTGGTGCCTCCACCCCTTTCAGAGTTCATACTCTATTTCCTGTCACTTTACTTAACAGGAGACCAAAAGCAAGGACATGCGTTAGAATTAATAGCTTTGTGCCTCTGGTGCTGTCCATTTAAAGGTTTTAACCTCTCTAGGGCTAGGGGGAAGAAGATATTCCTAAACTCTGTAGTAGTAATTTGGCTTGTCAGTAGCAGGAAATTGTGATCTCCGTGTCTTCCCTGCCCCTACCCCACTACTACTGTCTCTGCCGTCCCACGGCTCTCGTCTTCGGAAGGCTTGGCCAGCACTGGAACATAATTAGTCGGTCATCTCTAACTGTGGGACTCCTTGTCTTGCTCTCCTTCCCAACCACATATTTTGTTCTGAGATGATTTGTTTCGGGGAATTAACTAGGTCATACTCTCTATCTATGTTCCCACTTGGTTTCTGAAGTCTTGCAATGTCAACTGTTACAGTAGCAACTCCACTCCCTGGCCTTGCCCAATGTGTCTTTCTGCCAAGGCCATGTAGAGGTGGGTGCCCAAGAAACTTCACAGTGTCCTCTTGTTTTTCAGATTGTCTGACAGCTTTATTTACAGTAAAATTTTAGGAAAACTTAAATAAAATATTCTTTTTATTTAGGGTAAAATAGTTCCATTGTGATGAGCAAGCTTGTGTGTACATGTGTGTGAATGAGCCATTTATGTACATATACCAATACAGATCTATATTATATATACACAGTTTTGTACTATCATTTAAAATAAAGACATTTCTTAATAAAATGTTAGTGTTGTTGAAGTCTTACCACTTTGGCAAAGAATGTTTCTACTGTCTAACGGTGTTACATTGAACCAGTCACACTAAGGCTAAGGCCCCAGGGCCTTAGCTCTTACTTCAGTTTCTTTCATTTCACTTACTTTATTTTGAGACAGGGTTTCTCTGTGTAGCCCTGGCTGTCCTGGAACTCCCTCTAGGGACCACAGAAATCCATCTGTGCTGGGATTAAAGGTGTGAGCCACCGCTGCCCCATCACTCAGTTTCTTTCATGTGTAAGGAATAAGAGGCTGAAGGGAGCTGGGTGAGAAAGGCAAGAGGGTCCAGGCGGTGGCGGTGGCAGTGGCAGTGGCGGTGGCACATGCCTTTGATCCCAGGATTCAGAAGCAAGCAAGATCTGTATGAGTTTGTGATCAGCCTGGTCTACAGAGTGACTTCCAGGACAGCCAGAGCTGTTACACAAAGGAACGCTGTCTCGAAAAAGAAAAAAAAGAAAAGAAAAGGCAGAGGGTATGCTGAACAGTATTGCTAGCATCTTGGGACGATCGACTGAGCCCCCTTGCAAAAGAGCATTCCAGCTGATCTTATTGACCGTTTATGTCTCCTGCACAGAGGGACAAAGAGGGGCCCAGGGATCTCACCTGATGTCCATGGCTCCTTACCACCTCCTCATATGGCCTTAACTGCATGGCCTGGGGAGGGACCTGCTGGATAAGGGCTTTTCAGGTGCAGCCTGCTGTGGGGGAAGAGCTCCCATACCCTTT